TGTAATTTTTGATATAATGTTTTTGTCTTTGTTAATGTCAATTAATTTGTAGTTATTCTTATCCTCTAGTGTTTGTAGAATTTTTGTTTTATAATATATTCTGTCCATGTTCACTATAGCGCTGCATTTATCTGCTTCTTTTATAATTATATTGTTATTTCTTGGGATGCTCTCTAAGGCTAGTCTTTGTCTCTATGTAAGATTGTTGAATGGTTTGGATTTTTCTTGTAGGTTAAGCTTCCAGAGTTTTTCAAAAGATATATTTAGCGCATTGGTATTATTACCTTTGTTTGGGAATAATTTGGATTTTTTTTACAAATGACTCATCTGTAATATCATCGTTATTATTAAATATTTCTTTTAGCCTGAATTTGTGTTCAAATTCTCTAAGGTTTTCTTTTAGGTCAGAATTTTAAGCCTTATTTCAATAGGTTGATTTCGTCATTTGTAAGTGTTTATGTAGATAGGTTTATTATTTTGGGATTGTGTCATCTAAACTATATATATATATATATATATATATATATATATATATATATATATATATATATAGATGGCTATATATATATATATATATATATATATATATATATATATATATATATATGTATGTATTAGCTAGCATTGTCTAACCATAAGTATGTTTAAATCAAGACGCATACACAATCATATATATATATATATATATATATATATAAATGAGATAAACGATATATATTTTCATATATCAAGAACAGTATTGAAGTAGTTGTAAGACAAAACGGAAAAAAATTGCGTTTTCATCAGTTAGGACGACTTCATCAGACTGGGTTGGTTTGTTGCTATTGTGACTACCCATGCGCATGAACGAGAGATACTGGTATTTTTTAAAAGAATTTGTTTAAAATAAATTTAGCCAAATTAATCTATTATCTTTTTCGGCTAAGAAGGGTGGAACGTTCTAAGAAGCTGGATGTAAATTTACTTTGCATTAAATTGGCGATTAAGCATTTAGTAGATATTTTTGTTATGTAAACTTTTTTCTCTTTTAATTACCCCATCATCTTTTATGTGAAAACTGTGGTCAGTTTTGTTTTTGTATCGTCTAAACTATATATATATATATATATATATATATATGATGTAACAGTAAAATTGTTCTAATCGTTTAAAAACGTAATTGGCCATCCCACAAACTGTTTAATATCTAAACAAAATACTAAACTAAATGTTTCTTTTTTCAAAGTTCTCAGATAAAACGTTTAGCTATCTTGACACGATTTCTCGTAAGAATAACTGAAAAACTCTGAGTTATTCAGCTAGAACGAAAACAGGCTAAAATAGTTCTGTGTCTGCACCACTGTCTTCCCAAATGAGCAATGCTGAGAGGAAAAAGATCATTCCGGCCTTCAGTAGTGGCACTAACATTCATACTATGGCTTCCATCATCAAAGTCTATTCAAGAAGCATGAAGAGAACGGTGAATAAGTTTAAAAAAGAGGGGAGAGTAGAGAGGAAACCTAGATCAGGAAGTGACAGCAGGAAGAGGGATCGTCATTTCAACTTAGATCTAAAGAGATCAATTAGAAAAGATCCAACTAAATTCATAAGAAGTTTGGTACGTGAGAGAGGAATTTCAACTATGACAGTTTAAAGAGCAGCGCAAAAAGAATTGAAAATGAACTCGTCCGTAAAACCTGTGAGGCACCATGATACTCCTGGACAGAAAGTTAGAAGGTTAGAGAATAAATTGTAAAATGACCCTGGAATATATATATATAATTATTATTTATATAAAAAAAAAATTATAACATAAATATGTTATAAAATCACTACAAAAATAGCCATTTCGTTTCAACACCCTCGGTGTCTTATCAAGTGATGATGTTGAAGATAAAATAAATGGTTTTAAAAGTTTCAAATTAATTAACGATCCTTCACTAGGGGGGGAACATTGTTACAAAAGCTAGAATAACCAATAAAAATCCAAGTATAGGAAGATTCAAAAGCTTGACAACGAAATCATGTTATAATAGCTATTCAGATCTTTAAAATACGGGTAATATTAAAAAGAATTTATACTAACCAATAATTATAAGATTATATGATAAAATTTAATATTAAAATTAAAAACTGCCAATTTTAAAATCCAAATTTAATCACTATTAAGTTTAAAAACTATAAAATTATTGAGAAAAGAAAAAATACATATGTTATTCAATTTATTTCTTCGTTGAAATTACGTTCGACAAGACACTACAATATCCGGTCATTTGACAATACATGTATATATATATTTTATTCTAAAGTGTGTGAATGTGGTCTTAAACTCACGCGCAAAACAACAAAAACACAATCAGATTATAATACATAAGCACCCAGACATATTTAGATATATATATACACACAAAAAAGCGACGAGACAGAAACATCTCCACAGCCCTTTATGAAAAAAGGAAACGGGGAAACCAACACCTATATATATATATATATATATATATATATATATATATATAAAAAATAACTTTCTGTCAATCCTTCATGAACTTCTGATCCTTAACTATGATTAATTAATAATGAATATGCCATTTTCGTTTGTGGTCGATTTCATCACGATTATTCTGTTACGCTTGTTATATATTCTTATTGCTAAAAGTAGATTCCAATAGTATTAGAAAAAAAAAAAACTCGGAGAATTCCAGTAAGATAAATTTAATCATTTCTAATATACAACGGTTCGAACCTAATCTGACAATTGTACAATTTTGCTGTTACACCCGGTATATCGTAGATGGATATATATATATATATATATATATATATATATATATATATATATATATATATGTTAGCATTGACTAAGTATAAGTGTGTTTACATCATGAAACACAAACAATCATATATATATATATATATATATATATATATATATATATATAATGAAAAGGCTTAAACACTAATATTCCATGGTCATAATTTATTCCATTCGAATCGTAAATACGATCCAATTCATCAGACCTACAAATTCAAAAAGAAAACAGAAAAAACAACTCCGGAAATAAAAAATACAATTTAGAGAGAGTGTAAGTATGAGAGTGTGGGACGAATGTTAGAGCTATAGAGTGGGGTGATAGACGAGAGAAGGTGGGGGATTAAAATTTACCAGAGAGAAGTTTTAGAGAGGGGGAGTCAATGTCGGTTTAAGTGAGAGAAATATGAATGTTGTCGGATGTCTAATACATTAAAGATGTAACCGGAAAGGATACATTTTGTGGTGACATACACACGCAATAGACGATTTAATCTTAAAGACCAGAAGAAGAGGGAGGGAGAGGAAAAGAAAAGAAAAAGGGGTCGGGGGACTAAAACTGAAAGGCATTTATTGAAAGCGTCTATCGTATTTACGATTCCAATGGAATAAATTATGACCATGGAATATTAGTGTTTAAGCCTTTTTATTATATCCTTACTCTGTCCTGGACATTGAGTTCTACCTGGATTCTATCCTCTTGGAATTTTTTTTTATACAAAATATATATGTATGCGTATGCATGTATGTATATATATTTATATATTTTGCATATGTATGTGTATATTTACCACTAATATTAGCTATATATATATATATATATATATATATATATATATATATATATATATATATATATATATATATATATATATATATAGAGAGAGAGAGAGAAGAGAGAGAGAGAGAGACAATTAGAGGGAAAGAGAAAGTATCGTATGATAGCAAACAGTGTTACCACGATTTTGATAAAACCACGGAAGATTTTCCTTTACTGAACTAACTAAGTGTTGGAGCTTTTATGGACGGAGTAATAAATAACCTTCTCCGATACTACGGTCAGAAAGTAAATTACACATGATGTGTTTACCGCTCATTGAACTACTGATATCACCCTTCCTAGAATTTTTAGGATCCGGCGCTTTTCATAGCATTCTTCCACCAAGAAGCAATATATTTCCGATATAATGAAAACGCCTTATTAATATTACCCATACGATACATCACTAGCAGTCATCAAATGTCTCGGTAGATATCATACTATAGTAGTACCACATTGTATTTACCTTGTATTGATGAAATGCTTACTAATCAAAAGTTTGTTATTTTCTGTACTAACACTTTATAGTTAGTGGTCACGTGACAGGGTTACTATATAATTCCCGAAGTTGCGTAAATGGAGAGGAAATGTATCTTTTTATTATGAAATTTACCTTCTATTTTATACGTCGCGGGAAGTGGCAATATATTTCGCAAATCAGAGTAAGTGCAATTTTTTTGTTTTCACTCGACCTGACCAGTCTCTGTTCGTTTGGCTGAACGGGAGCATTTTTTCTGAGAATTAAAACAAGTGCCAGCCTAAAAACAAATGACATGAAAAGCGAGTGAAAATTGGAATCACTAACTTTTGCGTTTCTACGATTATTTGTCATGTAGCAATATCGACAAAAAGGTGGGCTTTGTCACGCTAAACAATTAAAAAAAAAAAACGAAAAAAAAAACCCCCAAAAAACGAAAAAAAAACCCCAAAAAACGAAAAAAAAAAAAAACAAACAAAAGAAAAAACAGACAAATAAACAAACAAAAATATCCGGTGTCGTTATTAGCGACCAGAAAAACATTCATTTCCGTTCCGTTATGTCATACAAATGAATTGGTTGATTCATCTCTAAACTTTCAGAAAAAAAAAAGAGTTGCGCGATGTTTGTAACGTGTCTTCCTTCAACATCCCGTCCAGTTCATCATTTTTTTTTTATGATGCACAATCTTCCCGAGATTTACTTTGTCCCTCGATATAATTCTCTTTTCCCTTCGCAAATTAATCTCGCTATGTGACTGCATTTACAGCATCCCTGACATAAACGAAGAGAAATAATCAACACACTTCCGCGAGATTAAATCTGAAGAGTTAACACCGTCAGTTTTTATTTGGTAATTCAACCAAGATTTTCACGAAGCTGAGTTGACTTATAGAGACTTACGGCTACCTCACGTTCAAACACCGGTTCTTGTACGATCACCGAAGTTAAGTAACGCTGATCTTGGTCAGTACCTACATGAGTGACCGCTTGGGAATACCAGGTGCTGTAAACTAGGATGTGCAGATGTAATGGATCATGGCTCGGAATTTTTATTCGGAGAGCCGAGTTCAAATTCCGTTGGATTCGTTGTATTCCCTCATGCGCAAATACTCTTGGATAAGGTATGAATCTGCCGCTCCTCCCTCCAGCTATGGATTAATTAGTATCATTAGTATCACTAAACCAATTACTATCTCAAAAAAACAAATTCTGACAATCTAAAAATATCTTCTGGATTTAAATAACTTGCAAAGCGTTGGCAAGCCGTAGAAAATGAAGAAATGAATCAATGCTGGCCAATTTACTCACAAGTGAAGAATAGACTTGAAGCAACAGAATTGTGGTTCTACAGAAGGATGCTGAGAATGCCATGAACAGAACATGTGAGAAGCAATGACGTTTTAAAGAGAACTTCTATCACGCTTCCAATGCAATCGATTTAATATATTGTTGTAGCATACCTACGGACGATAATGGTTATGTCCCCATTCACATAAATACAGTAGGAAATACTGTATGTTGGTCTGTAGTTGGAGATTCGTCTCCAGTTGTTCTGGTCAAACTCTTTGTCTCCGGGCAGAGAGGATCCTCAGACGAGGCTATGTCGAAGGGCAGTGTCTCGTCTCGGGAAACAGCTATCCGACCCCGTTTTATACGTGGTTTACGGGGAATTTTTGGCCTAGCCTACGGGCTCGGATAATCCATATTAAATTCAACCTTATGCCACATCTGACAGCGTGGGGCGGTTGGTAGATATCCTGCAGTTGGAGATTCATTGTGAAATTCACTTGACTCACTTCTAGCAGTTGACTACTTCTACGCGCCGCTGGCGAATCTTATATGTGTTGTTCTTGTCCTAAGTATTATCGTTCATTACCAACCTTCATTTGATTATTCTATTCAGTAACCTTCCCTAGTTTACAACATATATATAATTAGAGACATCAATAAGTCCATATCCTAAGAATGAAAAGTAAAAGATAATAATATAATTTATTTCGAGACGTATTTATGTTGGTGATTTCAGCCCGGCTATAATTTTTAATATTAATACGCATGGATCTTTTTTTATCACTTAACCCCAAGCAAGGCCATAAAGCCAAAAGGATGCACGGGGATTGCTGAGTGTGAGAGAATATAAGAAAAAAGAAAGCACTATTAATAAATAATAAAAGACCAAGAATTAAGAAGATGGAAGATAACATTACATTTAAACTTTTGAAGATCAAAGTTGACTTGAAGAGAGATCCACAAGCGATAAGTGCGATAGAAGAAACTACTAGCATAGAACTTACGGTTACATCTAGTAATTCTTTATGTAAAATGACGAGACCAAGCTACCAATTTAGTACCGTGCTTATACTCATAAAATCTACGTACCAAAGAAAGCTTGGCAGAGCAATTATCACGAAAATATAGAAAAGGCACATAGAACCCTTGGTGGAAAAGTGACTCAAGAATCTCTAAATACATAGAAGCGTCAAACCGAATATGACAGCAATGTTCAATGCATAACCGACTTATAAATGTATAATATTCTGGCGAGAAAAAATTGTCTAACACGATACAGTGAACGATTTTTTCTAGCAGGAAACATAAGAATTGATTCAATATAATCCTCCCACTTCACGTCAGCGGAAAACGATGGCCCGAAAAGCCGTAACGAGTAGTTCACCTGGAGGTTGGCAGCAGCTCTGCCGATGGAAGTCAAAGAATGCTCTCTAAGACGATGAAAATATTTCTCGAGATATCAATTTAAATTTCTAGAGAGAAAAAAACTTGCAAATCACCTTGGACGTGTTAGAAAGAAGAAACTGAACCAAAAAACAACATAAATGTTTTTCTATTCTTATCTGATCTTATCCCATCATGGGCCACACTGTTTATTAAAGTCTTCGTCAAGATACTTCGTTAGTTCTGTTCCTCATTACTTATACCAGATTTGATGTATTGCAGAGCATTTGCAAATGAACCACTTATAATTCTACTCGTCCTTTCGCTCCTTAGAGAGCTAGTTAGCATGTATTTTAATCACCGTCGACTCAACACCGCCGACTCAACACTCGCCAACTCATCTCAACTCCAGGACAACTCAACACCAACCTCTTCAGCAGCTTCAGACTGGTGTTGTTTTTACTAGTATGTAAATCCCTTTGAGTGATAGAGATTTTGAAAGTTTGGCTGTTTGTTTTAGTGATTTATCAGTTACAACAGCTTATTTCTCTGACTGGTGCTTAATTTTCAAAATCGGACAAATAACCATGCTGAAGGAGCAAATAGGGCACATATTTGGGGATGGAGCACACTACAATATGGAGATTCTTTAAAGGACTGCAAAAAGTGTAAAGAGACCGATATGCATTTTACGAGAAATTAATTGGAGGACATCTTCCCTTAATTTGAAGAAGCATATGAAATGCAAATGAAAGTATTTTGCAGACGATGTCTTTTTTTTGCAACGATCTCCAACTGAATATTAGAGGAGAATTGCATAAAATGTTCAATAATTCTTTAAATTAAAAATAAAATCATGTAATAAAAAATGATCCTTAATAAATTACTTTTATTTGTTTTTAAAAATTCAACGATAAAAATTTCATAGTTTGCATGTTGTTGAGTTGCTCTCGCGCTGAGTAGGCTGGTGGTGACTTTTCCTTGAATGTATTGTCACGGAGATTAGTTGGTCGGCGTTGAGGCGGCGGTGTTGAGTTGGCGGTGATGAATTGTCCTGCACACTATTTTCATCCCTGGCAATATCTCATCATTAATGAACTATTCAGTTTTGATCGCGTGGATAGACGCGGAATAACTATCAGAGATTTTGTTTGGTTTCAATGCGAGAATAAAAGAAACAAAATATAGACAGCAGTAACACTCTAATGTGTTTAAATGTGTTTTCAGTGAAAAATATTTTAAATTTTAAATCTTTTACTTTGTACCCTCTTACGTCTTTGAATAATGGCCTGCATTCATAGTCATGATTATCATTGCAATATTTTGTTAAAAATATTTAACGATGTCATAGATTGATTTCTATGGGTATTTTGTAGTGGGAGAACTCTCATTAAGGTTATTTATTCATTTAACATCATGATAAATCAGAACATTAAAATAGGAAAACCATAAAATTTTCATGAGTATTAATAATATTGATAAATTAAGCTCATTCTGGGAGATTATACCATTTTCACGTTTTTATGTTGTTTTGCTTCACTGTATAATTGAAATAAATGTTTTCTCAGTTTTAATCACGTTAAGGAATTGAACGATGTTTTATTGAAAGACAACGTGAATGGCAACTTCAAAGGTGATGGCAAAATTTAACACACGCATTATTAAAAAAAAAAAAACCAAAGAGAACTTGAAATAAACGAAGATATTTATGCTTACTGATTCTGAATTTAAGCACAGCGTTTTAAATATGTTTCTTAGAAAATAAATATTGACCGTAAAAAAAAAAATATTACATATCTCCGGATATTTGTGGAAAACCTTTCACAATTTTGGAAACCATTGCCTGAATTTTACCGCATTTATAGCGTGTTTTTTTTTTTTGACGAGATGGAAAGAATTCTAAAAAAAAATGTCCCCACTAAGTAACAGATGTGTTTTCGCATGTAGTTCAAAATTCTAATTACATATTTTGATATTTGAGGGAAATATCAAATGAAAACACCTATGAGAGAAGTAATTTCTTTCTCCGTTACGAAACGGAATAAATGCTTTTTATATTTTCTTGTGTTTTGTATATTTAATGTCTTCTATTAGAATATCGTCTCCTTCCATGTGCTGTGTCTCTTAAGGACGTTGGCGTTCATGGCTCTCTACAATTTCCTATCCGTTGTAGCTTTTAATGAATTTTGTCTTTTTTGTTATCTCTCCTAAACCCTATTCTGACGTCCATTTAATCAAGCTCGCTATGTAGTCTTCGCGTCCCTCTTGCCGTCAATAAGTCCTGTGAGTGTCAAATTTTCCAAGACGTCTTTCCTCATCATCTACCCCAGAAATTTCAGTTGTCTCTTTCTGATGTTAAGTATACGGGCATTTTTTGTTTTCATTTTCGCTAAAATCTTCGTCACTATTTACATTATTCGGGCTTTGTCGCTATATTTATTACAACGTTTCGGCCGTTGTACGCTCCGGCCTTCTTCAGGTGGTAGGAATGTCAAACTGAACCCTTTATTTCGCTTACTGGTGTAGACTGTTATTTTCGCTTACTGGTGTAGACTGTTTCGGCGTACAACGGCCGAAATGTTGTAATAAATATGGCGACAAAGATGAGGACAATAGTCCGAATAATGTAAATAATGTCCTGACGTCCTATTGAAGATCACGTTTATTGTATGATTCACTGTATTTATTTAATAATTAAAACAAATTACAGTACAGGTATTCAAGTTTAAAAATCCATCAACATTTCCTAATGATATTAAATGTGTCAAAATCATCTATAAGAATAATCTATAAGAATAATCTATTCAAATGTAGATGTAGTAATATGGAAAAGAATTAAAACTTTCATTAATATTTGCATATAATTCGGAATGCGCCTATTGAATCGAACAAGCTGAGAAGGCGGTGAGGAATGGCATTCTGATTTCTGGTGAAAAGGGTGCATTGAGCAAAACAATGTTTGAGAATCACTGTCGAAGAACTGCTTATGCTCAAATTGATAAGATCTACATCCTTCGTTTCTGTCCGCTATCCGGTGAAACGTCCAGTGCGTGTGGCCAGGTCGTAATGTCATCAACTGAGGAGAAGCATAAGTGCTGGTGAGTGGTCTTTCTCTCATCTGCCGATGGAGCCACCCTATGGTCGGCATGCACACACGAAGCATTGCGTCAATGGTTCCAATTACCTGAACATATGTCTTTTAGTGTCTACACCCGGGAATTAGCCTCCGAGGTAGTTAATTAATAATGAAGTCAAGATGTAAGAGCGACTGGTGAGGCTTCAGCAGTTATCAGAAGTAAAACCCAAGATATGGCAGACGAATTGCAGACGTTAAAATCAAGCAAGTAAAGATGGCTGATTAACTAAGAAAGATGTCTTCCAAAAGTTAAACAAAATATTAAAAGAAAACGGAAAACAAGCAAGAGTTCTGAAATGCTATGTAAAATCAATCCTTAAATAGGACAGGTATACTGGACAATTTTTCGAATTCGAAGAGGAAGCTTGAAATAATAAAAATGTACATAATCAGATTTTTATTGGTTGATTTGTTTTTTACAGCTTATCAATCTTTTGCAGTTTATTTAAATCCAGCAAATATTTTTAGATTGTAAAATCTTTTTGAGATAATGCTGATTTTACTAATACACATTATACTAATAAACCCATAGCAAGGGGTACGCATGGGAGAATATAATGAATTCAACTAAAATTGGATCTCGTCACACCGATATACAATTACGAGACATTATCCATTACACAAATCGAAACTTACAACAAACGGTTTTCCCGAGCGGTTACCCCTCCAGGTACTGACCAGGATCAATGCTGCTTAACTTCGGTGATCGTACGAGAACCAGTGTTTCAACATGATATGGACATAAGTCCATTACACAACCAGCATATCCAAGTTTGCAGTATTTCGTATTAGCAAGCGGTTACCCAACTAGGTATGACCAGGTTCAACGTTACTTAACTTCGGTGATCGTACGAGCACCGGTGTTTCAACATGATATGGCCGTAAGTCCATTACACAACCAGTATATCCAAGCTTACAGTATTTGGTATTCCCAAACTGTTACCCATCTAGGTAGTGACCAGGCTCAACGCTGCTTAACTTCGGTGATCGTACGAGAACCGGTGGTTCAACGTGATGTGCTCGTAAGCTTAGTTCAACACAAGGTTGCCGAGAATTTCATCGACAGAATGTGAGTAACGTAGAATTTCTTTTAGGAAAATTGGAACAAAACGCATTTTCTTTAGAATCAGAAAGAGAGGATTTAAATTTTTGAATTACATATTAAGGAAAAAAAGGATTAGAGAATTAACACTTAATACTGATGGGAAGTTGGCAAAAAAGAAACAACGAGTAACATGCATAAAAATCTTACATAAATGGTTGGCAGGACATGTGATGGCCGAGATAACAACGTGACAGACATTTCTGTCTGAATTTATGAGATGAGGAGTTATCATTTACAGTCTTTACATTCAGACTATTAACCTCAACTTTGTTGTTATTACCTTCTGTCTGAATTTCTGGGATGAAGATCTATTATTATTTAGGGTATTTAAATTCAGACTATTACTCCTTTGTTATTATTACCATCATCTGTTTGAATTTCTGGGATGAGGAGCTATCATTATTTTAGGGTCTTTCGTGTTATTATAATATAATGTCTGAATTTCTGGGATAAGGAGCTATTATTATTTAGGGTATTTAAATTCTATTAATTTTTTTATTTTACCACCATCTGGGGGATGAGGAGCTAAATTTTCGTGTTAACTATTAAATGTCTTTTTTTTATTATTTTAAATTTAAACTATCGTTATTATTACTATCGTGTATCTGAATTTCTGGGATGAGAAGCTCTCTTTTATTACAGTGACTTTACATTGAGACTATCATCCTCAACTTTGTCTTTATTATGCATAATAGGAAAATGGGTTCAGCAGATATACAAAAATAGAAAGTTTTGTAAGGCAACGATGTGTCTTCTCACCGGACTTATTCAACCTATACAGTAAGGCGAGGATTCATTATTGGTGGCCTTGAGCTTAACAACATAAGATATGCATATGTCACAGTGTTGATAACTGACACAGGAAAGAATCTACAAGAACTCCAACAGAAGATAGTAAAGAAAATCGAAAAAAAAGAACTAAAATTCAATTGCAAGAAAACAGAATGTATGGTTGTCAGCAAAAGGATGCACCCAACATAGAAATTACAAATTGAAGATACCAAAATCAAACAAGTGCAACAATTTAGATATCTGCGAAGTGTTTGAACAGAGGACGGAATGTGCGCCAATGAAATCGAAATTCACATTGGATTAGCAAAGGGAGCTTTCCCAAACTAAGCAAAGTATTAAGAAACAGGAAAATTTCGCTAGAAACGAAGAAAAAATAATTAACTGTTACGTAATATCGACCCTTCTACATGGCAGTGAATACTGCACACTCTTCCCAGATGACGAAGTGACTTGAAGCAACAGAAATGTGGTTCTACAGTAGCATGCTGGGGATGTCATGTGCCATGTCTAATAAATTCATACAGAGATGTCCTCAAAGACACAGTGGATAAAGGCGTTAGTTAGATCCAGTGACAGGACCCAAAGAATGTGAGTTCAATAACTGGTTAAGGCAGTGGAGAACTTGGAGAAGGGAATTAACAGGATATAACTGATAACTGACATCCATAGACATGTAAATAGTGTACATAATACTTCATCTCAGAAATATAGTCAAAATCTTCGTCTTTGCTCACATGTTCGGTCCATGATATTCCCAACATGCAACTGTATAACCACATTTCTGTTGCTTCAAGTCTCTTCGTCATCTGTGTGCAGCATTCATTGCCATGTAGAAGGGTCGATATTACGTAACAGTTAATTATTTTTTTCTTTGTTTCTAGCGAAATTTTCCTATTTCCTAATACTTTGCGTTGGAAAGCTTCCTTTGCTAATCGAATGCGACTTTGGATTTCATTGGCGCACATTCCGTCCTCTGTTCAAACAACTCCCAGATATTTAAATTGTTGCACTTGTTTGATTTTGGTATCTTCAATTTGTAATTTCTATGTTGGGTGCATCCTTTTGCTGACAACCATACATTCTGTTTTCTTGCAATTGAATTTTAGTTCTTTTTTTTCGATTTTCTTTACTATCTTCTGTTGGAGTTCTTGTAGATCCTAAGCCTTGAAATTCCATCCTATTTTGGAAGAATCACATCCAGATTTTACTGCCACTTCGTTGTCATAAAACCCACCGGTCACTTCAGGTCCCGATAGAAATCATTTACAGTAGACTTGACCCATTGTGTTACAAATATTCTTCTGAGATATGAAATATAAACTTCTTTTCCTTTCAAACACAGAAAAAAAATATAATATCACTGCGTTAAAACAATTATGGCAAAGTTATTTTCCCGTAGTATTTTCGAAGCAAAAAGGAGAGTGTTCACCTGATGTCAAACGTAATGTAAAGCTAACTTATAGAAGATATAAAGTCAGATGACATCAACTGAAAAGAAGTTGGTGTTTTGTGAAAGATTGCTGTTGGGTGCTATGACATCTTGCCCTGTTTTGTGTGATTTCTTCTCATCTGTCGACGGAAATGAGAGAGAGACCACGTATATAAGTGTATGCAAGATTCCATTTCAAGAGAAGCGGACTTGACAAGCCAATCCCAAAAAGGGAAAAAATCTGAAAAGCAACATAGGCAGAAGAAATCGCTTATTGCTAAGGATATATATATATATATATATATATATATATATATATATATATATATATTCTATTATTATGTTTCTATAGAACGAAGACGTAAATATGAGAGAATTTCTCGAGGGTACAAATGCTGATAGTATAATGGAACTAGCATCATGTTAAAGAAATCCAAATCTAAGAAATTATCATTGGCATTATATTACCATTTTGGCCACTTATCGTTGGATGATCAATTATTCACTCGCCATCTTTAGTTTATGCATTTATTTAGTTTTAAACTGTTTTATTTCATAGTTTGTTCTACTATTTATCCATAGATGGGGGAGAAGAGATGGATTCATCCTTGGGAAAGGTATTAATCCAACTCTCTCTCCAGCTATGAGTAAATATTAGGACAGACTGGGTTCTATAGCCTTATGTGGCAACCTGCTTAGGAGAAGGAAAACTCTGAATTCAAAACTCTGATGTTTCCCTAGAGAAGCACAAAATATGCAGCTATGGAAAGGACTGTTCGCATTGACTCAATTACTCTGACTACGGTCGACTATTTCTTATGAGAAATCAGCAAAATGGCCTTGTTCAGACTTAGTAGCGGTCTATCAAAAAACTATATTCATCGAAGCTTACTGGATGTTTACGGAGACCAACCAATAGATGTGGGCACAGTTAAGCAGTGATTCACTCCTAAGGAACTGGATTTTATAATCAATGCATGTCGGCTCTTGTTCATCGCTGTTGGAAATGTTCAGCTAATTGGGATGATTGCGGGGGAATAATATTTCTTGTAATTTTCTCTAGAAAATTAATTACCTTACCATCAGAGCGTCCCTCGTGAACGCTTTGTGAATAAATTTTTGTTTTTTATAATGAGTATATAAAGAAAAAAATGTTTGGCGCTAAATCGAAACCCCGAGGAGGAAAACAATTACGTTCACCCTATTGAAGCGGATATATTTGGGAAAAGTGAATCTAATGGATTTTATATTATCAACTTGCGACCATATTACGTGGAGAATATAGTGATAACCACCTTTTCAGAACAAAATGAAATTCTAAAAAAATGATCAAACCTCATTTTCCAAACGCAGACACGAAAACAAATTCTTACACTGCTACCTAAAAACATTGTAACTGTAATAAAAATTATTGCAAATACCAAAATATAGAACAAAAGAAAATAGATTAACAGATAACTATAAGAAATAAGAAATAATTGATCAAAATAAGCAAAATAGAGGCAATACTATAATTGCATTAAGGATTAGCTCTAAATAAAAGAATTGAGGAGAAAAGGTTTCGTCATTTCAACACATCGCCATTTCTATAAGTCCTCTAACTTTATCAGGAGAGTCCATAGTCGGGTTCCAGGGTGTTCGTGGAGATCAGATAAAAATTATATTCTCTATACAGCCATTGTTCCAATCGACGGTTTCCCACTGAAAAAAATAAAAGAAAATGCATCCTGCTACTGAATGAACGAAAACGCACTACTTAAATTACTGACTACTAGGCATCTCTTAACTTGTTGTTGGGTCCATGTTTACCATTTAAACGTGTGTCATCATCCTCTGCATGACCGCCATCTTTTGCCACTCCGTAAGAGCAAGTGATAATCCTCATTTTACACGGTTTATCACCGTTTGATCTTCTTCTCATCTACTGGTGAGGATTAATTGTCCACAATTTCTTTCAAGTGTGGTTGTCTGAAAAGTGATATGTGCAGTGTGCACGAGGGCGCAGTATAGAGAAAGGCTTTATATGTGTTGGGAAAAACCAATCAGACTGCGAGTCTGTCTATGAAGGACTATTTCTTAGAGGGGTATGGTTCAAGGGGCCCATGAATCGAGGCCTGTGACTCGATGGGCCCATGACTAAAGGGATCCGTGACTAATAGGGTTCGTAACTCAAAAAAGCTTAAGAACCACTGATCTAATATGTAGAACACGCTAAAGGTCTCGTGAAAATTACCATGCAATGTTGATTCTTAAATCCGAACTAACACGTCTCTTAGTTATGTGCAGGGATAAAAATGAACGTTGTGCAAATTTCTAATCAGCCAATGACATGACAGCAATTTAATGGATATGGCTATTTAAATGTACTTCTGGCGAACTGTTGAATTTTATTTGAAGCATTAGTATGGGAAAGAAAGGTAATTTGACTTGGATAGATGATGCCAAAAGGAAATGTTGGAGGAATTAAAAATGTAGATCTACTACGATGTTCACGCATAATAAGCTATAGATTTTATAGAGAATATCCGGAAATAGAAAAGTTCTACAATGTCACAATTCTATTGGTGGAAACTCCAAGCAAGGCAATAAAAGGATGTAAGGGGTATCGAGCGTGAAAGAAACAGGAAGGACAATAGAAGAACAGGATTCAAGGCGACAGCAGATGACGATTAACATTGAAATTAAATTTTTCAACAT